TATGTATTGGTTTATTCATTTATTTACTTATCTATTTATTTATATTTGTTTGTTCGTTGGATGGTTGGATGGTTGGTTGGTTGGTTGGTTGAATGGTTGGTTGGTTGGTTGGATGGTAGGTTTATTTATTCATTTGTATATTTGTTTGTTTGTTTTTATTATTGAAATTATTAATTTATGCAATTATTTATTATATTGTCTAGTTTTGGACCATATTTGCGGCACTTGCAGATTACATGTGTCACTAGAGAGAAACAAACATAGAAAAAAAAGGAGAAGTTCTAAATGGGCTTTAGATGTTTGATAAGAAAGAAAGAGAAAACCACACCCGTCAAACATCCCCATTTATTTTCTCTTTAGATTATCTATTTTTTAATTTCTTTTTTTGCCGTTTTATTTTGTTGATGGCTTTGATGGTGGTCGTGATGATGGCTTTGCTAAGCTTTTGCTGTTGTTGACAGATATTAATCTTCCTTGTTACCATGGTTACTAGGCTATAAATAGTCATAACTGCTGTTAACGGACCTACCAGCAAAAAGTCATAATTACATTCGGCACATTACCATGGTGACCTAGCTACAAAGAGTCTTTACTACAATTGGTCGCTTTTAAAGACAAGCGGGTTAACCCAGATTTGGGGGGTTTCCAGAAATCTTGACCTACACCAAAAGTGGGCATTGCCCTACCTATAGGAGAAGTTTGGTTTCACTGGTGTGTATATTTGTTTAGATATAGATAAAAATTTCCTTGTCTTTTAAAGAAACTGAACAAGGGGCAAAAACTTTACCTTCAACTTTCTCAAAACAGCATTTTTCGGAAGAGACCCCTTGTGCTTAAAAGCGACCAATTGACATTTTATCACGGTGACTTACCTGCAAAAAGTCGTAGCTGCAGTTGGCGTGCGACTCGAGGGCGAGGGTGGCGAAGGTGAACATGATGTTTGAGCCGGGGTCAACGGACACCACCCAGACACAGTCGCGGTTGTGTGGGTAGTTGCCAGGGTAACCGGGACTGCTGATCTCGCCATGGCTGTTGCCAGATAGACGCCCACCGCAGAC